GAGGGAAAGAAGAGTGAGTATGAGAGTCAGTATTGGGGTACCAGGGAATTTTAATATAGGGTTTAGTATGAGGATAAAAGGGTATTATGTCCCCTCCTTGATGCCTGTGATTTGAAAGGGGACTGAGGACACTGAAGAAAAGGAGACTCTGTGATGTAAAGGGGGGCTGTGATGTAAATGGGGGACTATGATGTAAAGAAGGCACTGTAATGTAAAGGGGGGCGGGGAGACTGTGATGTCAAGAGTGTGCTAATGCAATGTCTAATGCAGGCCATAGACGGTTCAAAAATCCGTCCAAAAGAATAATCAGCTGATTTTCGCACTGTTAGTGGGGCAATGGCATCGGTCGATTTACGTGGTTCCTCCTCATTTTGTTTATCGGTCATGCTGCAAAAATTTGTGAAAAACGACCGATTTTTGAAGTCATTGGTGGCAACATCGGATTACAGAACAAACGATGTTTCGTTTTTCGGACGAAAAATCGGCCAATAAACAAACCGGCTATGGCCTGCATTAGTCTTCCAGTGACAAAACAGCACAGTGAAGTCATTATTCCTTGTCCACAATGGTTATAGACAGAGACACTAACATCACACTTCCCACATGCTTCAATCTCTTACAATTGAATTTAGTATAGTTCAGTATGGTTGTCATTTTCTGCTATGAAAGTTTAATCTTTCTTTGTAATGCTGCTACACAGTTTAATTGACTTTTTTAAATTATAATTTCTTTTAAATCAGTAGGAACAGGAAAGCTTACAATTTGATGCCAATGTGTGGTTCGCTAACAATGCAAAGATGGGTTGAGTGCCCAAAAAATCTGTCTCTCAAATAGGAGACCTCCAAAATTCAGGAAATGATGAAATAAATAAAATAGCCCAGAATAATTTCATAACGTATTGAAAAATTCCTGCATGCATCATTTTTACAGTGTCCAGGCAGAGGGCAGTATGAGGAATATTCAACTTCATATATGTTTCTTCTGCAGAATTGAAGATTTGAACAGAAGGTCACATTCAATGATTTTCTACTGCTGGTTGCTCTGCAACACATACATGGATGTTAAAAAAGTTAAAGCAATATCTACATTGTTCATAATATTCCACAACACTGAAATATATTCTTACACGTGACAAAATTATAATAGATTTAGGATTGTCATTTACATAGTGGCGGAAAAGTGATTGTCCCTTGTGACGAGGTTAGGCAACCCTGGAGAGGTGGAGATCTACTTATACAACATGGAAGAGATCACCAGAATGAAGCACACTTCAAGACCCAATTCAAAATTAAGGCAGTTTAAAGAGTTCAGAGGTCAGTAGTAGGCAATGCAGGGGTCAGGGTTGGTAGTACGTGCAGCAGAGTTCAGGGGTCAGTAGCAAGTAATGCAGAATTCAGAGGCCAGTCATATGTAACAGAGAGTACAGAGGTATAGAATGTAATTTGCAGTGCAGGGTCAAACGTATGTAACATAAAGTGCAGGTGTCAGAAGTAAGAAAAGTACAGAGGTCAGCAGTATGTAATGCAGAGTGTAGAGGTAAGGAATAAGTAACACCGAGTGCAGAGATCCGTAGCATGTAGTGCACAGTGCAGGAGTCAGGAGTAAGTATGCAGAGCACAGGGGTCAGTAGTATGCTACACAGAGTGAAGGGGTCACTAGCATATAACACAGAGTTTTAGAGATCAGGAGTAAGTAATGCAGAGTGCAGGGTTCAAGAGTAAGTAACGCAGATTGCAGGGGTCATTAATATGTAATACAGTATAGGGGTCAGTAGTATGTAATTCACAATGTAGAGGTCAGTAGTATGTAGCACACAGTTCAGAGATCAGGAGTAAGTAATGCAGAGTGCAAGAGTCAATAGTAAGTAATGCAGAGTGCAGGGGTCAGTAATAAGTAACACAGTGCAGGGGTCAGTAATATGTAATGGACAATGCGGAGGTTAGTAGTATGTAGCACACATTTTAGAGGTCAGGAGAAAGTAATGCAGAATGCAGGGATCGGTAGTACGTAATGCAGAGTTCAGAAGCCAGTAGTATGTAATGCAGAGGTATATAATAAGTAATGCAGAGTGCAGAGGTGAGTAGTATGTAATTATCAGTGCAGGAGTAAGGAGTAAGCAACATGGCGTGCAGAGGTATATAATAAGTAATGCAGAGTGCAGAGATCAGTAGTATGTAATGATCAGTGCAGGCATATAAAGTAACACAGAGTGCAGGGGTCAGGAATGAGTAATGCAAACTGTAGGGGGTCGGAGAGGAATGCAGAAGACAGTAGTATGTAATGCAAAGTGCTGAGGTAAGGAAAGCAGAATGCAGAGGTTAGTAGTATGTAACAGTGCAGGGGTCAGGAGTAAGTAATGCAGAGAGCAGGGAACATTAGCAAATAACATAGAGTGCAGGGGTTAATAGTACGTAATGCACAATGTGGTGGTAAGTAGTAACACACAGTGCAGAGATCAGGAGTAACTAGCACACATCTCCCCCCCCCAGCAAAAATGCCTCCCTTCCAGTAAAAACATATATCCCCTAAATCCAAAATTATCTACTGTACAATTCCCTTCTCTTTTTGTAAAATTTTTTGTAAACTTCAGGTTCAGCAGCACCCCTCAGGTTTCCCCTCAGCTGTGTCATATGACATATCAAAGTCAAGGACGAGCCTTGGACTTTCCTCGGGTCTGCAATGCCTACTGCCTCTCTGATCTAAGATCTGAGAGGAGGTTGGTGGGGTCAGGAGCTGGTGACTGCAATAACAGGGTCATGATTTACCCATCACATGGCCAGGATTAAAGGATAGATTGCTATGGACATGTTCTTGAGCCCTGCTTTAGGATATTAATTGTGGCAGAAACATGAATGCTTGTATTGGTTTGCCATCCATCCATATATATGCTGTAAGCAGTCATCGTATGCTGGCCTTGACTCTGCAGAACACTAGGGTTGGCTGGAAAATCCATCCAAACTCTGTATGTCTGCAGAGGTCACAAATGACCCACAGACAAAGCAGATTCCCCATAAATGGCTGCAGTGTGCAATAATCATGTGATGTCTTTGAACAGGGATGAAGAAGAAGTATGAAATGATGCTGAGCCAGTATGGCCTAGGTGACATAATCAATATTCATAAAATGACCTTTAATGGTGGATTATGTCATCATCCTAAGATCCCATGAAATTCCTAGTCAGATAATTATTATTATTATTATTATTATTACAGGATTTATAAAGCGCCAACAATTTGCTCAGCGCTTTACAATATAATGGGAGACAAAACAGCAACAATACAGTTCAATACAAGAGGGATAGGGGAGCCCTGCTCCTCGGAGCTTACAATCTAGGGATAATGTTTAAGAATCAAAAGTGACAGCACACATTTAGTAAAAAAAACACCAATTGCTTGTAAATGAGTGTAAACGCGGTTAACCGTGTTTATAAGCGTTTACGTTTAGAAGCGGTTTTTAACTATTCCATGTCCAGATGCTGTCCAGAGCCTTTTTTCATCATCAGAAATGCATGCAAAGTGTTTTCCATGTATTCAAATAGACCTAGTACACCAGCGCAGTCAGTTCCAGGTTTCGTATGAAGGAAAAAATGGTAGAACAGCACGCTCATGATGCTCATGATGGGATCCATAGTAAATATAATCAGAAAATACAGTTCATCTCAACACATACTGCTCTCTCTGCTTCTTCTCTCTCTATTCCTCTTAAAATGTCTGAAATAGTTAATTTTACTATTTTTCAGTGCATTCTGGGCATTTGGGAAGGTCTCCTGAGGTTATCTTTTACAAATGCTTCTAAATGCAAAACGCACATAAACACGGTATGCAAATGCGGCTAAACTGACATTTTTTAACCTACGTTTTCCAGCAGTCAGTTTCCATCATTCAGAAGAGTTTTCCAAATGCCCCGTGTACATGAGCCCTAAGTGTTAAACAGTCAGAACCTGGCCCCTAAATCTCAAGGTCAGATGACAATAATCCTGTGGCTGAAATGTGACGGCTCTAACCCCTGTTCTTACTTCACTGAGCAGAAATACTAATGAGTTGTTCTTAGTAAACAGCATGTGACTCTGGGTTACATGCAGCTTGTAGGATATTTTTCAGCAAGTTGCTGAGTCATTTCCAGAGCTTTGTGCTGAGTCACGGTGCATCGACTGTGAATGTGTTGTCTGGCCTGCCAGAGTCAGAGTCGATAATTCAAGAGATAAAAAACTGTACAACTAGCACTCTGATCTTCTGTGATTTTATTAGTATTATATAATAAAAAAAATATTGTCAATTAATTTACAAGGCAGTTTTGTCTTACTTGCTTTTACTATACCTTCAACTATTATGGATCTTATTACAGGAAATAGTATGTTATTGTCTAGAAAATTCCAACTATCCCTATTTTCTGAAAATCTTTGCCAAAGAAGTCCAAAGGTGTCTAGTTACACAGTTAGTCTGGCTGAAAAAAGACAAAAATCAACCATAAAAGAAAGAAAAGTTATAATTGTATACCCACAGTTGATCCAGAGGAAGGCAAAAAACCCAGCATGGTACACTTCCTTCCTGATCCCCCGTGAAGCAATTGGATATTCCCTGGATCAACTTTACCAGTTATATTCTGTGTATCTAAGAAAGAATCCAGGCCTTTTTAACCTCCCTAGCGGTCTGATTATGTCAATATTTCTGTGCTGAAAGCGGTACATTTTTTTGCATGGAAATATGTTGTCTTTTTATTGTAGGCCTGTAATTTTTAGGAATAACTCACTGAAATCTGTCCGAACAAGAGTCTAGTAAACATCCCGGGTATGATAAAATTTGAAACACTAAATCATAAATTATAATATATTAACTAATCATAAAAAATAATAATATAATAATAATACATTTAATTCAATAATATAATCAAACCAAAAACACTGAAATTTGAAATATAGCACCAAGTTCTCACATCAATGAGCAAAGTTGCAAAATCGTTTTCAGTGTCTGATGACGAATTTCCCCACAAATCATTATCACTCAATTCTGCAAGTAGTTCTGATTTACTATCGCTGTATTCTAGCTGGTCTAAAACTGCTTTTGACCAAAAGGGACGCTTTTTGGATGCCATGGACTTTTCTCAGTTTCCAGGCAGAAAGAACAGTAAAAATGCAAGCAGGGCACAGGACAAAGCAATCGGGACAAAATGTATGTGAAATGCTTTGATACAGGAATGTTTTACTATGTGATTTTAGTGTATTAGTGACTGGCACTTTTTAAAATTTTTAAATTTCCCACCGGCTTCGTCCCGTGCACGTCCCGACGCTCGCAGGGACTGGAACCCGGAAGATGGGTGCCGGCATCGGCCGGAGGAGATGGCCGGGGACGCTGCAGGGGGGACATCGCGGGAGCGTAGGACAAGGTAAGTGATCGAGGGAATCCCAGAGCAACGGTGCAGGGTTATCCCAAGTGTACCGCTTTTGGCACTGATAATTAACCCCGAGCTACACTCGGGAATACCGCCAGGGAGGTTAAAGCAATCCTCTGAGCTGTCCAGAACCAACTCTTGAGGGAGTCTATTCCACATTTTCACAACTCTTACTGTGAAGAAACCTTTCTGTGTTTGGAGATTAAATTTATTTTCCTCCAGACATAAAGAGTGCCCCCTTGTCCTCTGTGATGACCTCAGGATGAATAGCTCTACACCGAGTTCACTATATGAACCACTGATGTATTTATACATGTTGATCATATCCCCCTTAATCTCCTCTTCTCAAGAGAGAATAAATTCAGTTCCTCTAATCTTTCCTCATAGCTGATCTCCTCCATGCCTCTTATCAGTTTGGTTGCCCTTCTCTGTACTTTCTCCAGTTCCCCAATGTTCTTTTTGTGAATTGGTGCCCAAAACTGAACTGCATATTCCAGATGAGGTATTACTAATGATTTGTACCGGGGTAATATGATATCTCTCTCTCTGGAGTCTATACCTCTTTTAATACAAGAGAGGATTTTGCTTGTTTTAGAAATCGCAGCTTGGCATTGCATGACATTGTTAAGCTTGCGATCTACCAGAACCCCCAGATCCTTCTCCACCATTGATTCCCCCAGTTGTACCCCCCCCAGTATGTATGATGCATGCATATTCTTAGCCCCCAAGTGCATAACCTTACATTTATCAACATTAAACCTCATTTGCCACATAGTTGCCCAATTACACAGTGCATTGAGGTCGGCTTGTAAATTGGAGACATTCTGTAATGACGTTATTCTACTGCACAGTTTAGTGTCATCTGCAAAGACCGAAATGGGATTGTCAATCTCAGACCCTATATCGTTTAGAAATATATTAAAAAGTACGGTCCCAACACTGAACCTTGGGGTACACCACTGACAACCCTAGACCAATCAGAGTATGAATCATTAACCACTGCTCTCTGAATACAATAATCTTTTTTTCTAGTTTTCTGTATTAACGTACTAACAGGTCTATAATTACTTGGTAAAGATTTGGATCCCTTTTTCAAATATTTGCACCACATTGGCCTAACGCCAATCTAGTGGTACTATGCCAGTCATTAAAGTGTCAGTAAAAATGAGAAACAATGGCTTTGAAATGACAGAGCTCAATTCTTTAAGGCCCTGTGGGTGTATGCCATCCGGTCCAGGTGCTTTATTCACCTTTATTCTGTCTAAAGATTTCTGGATTATAAAAGTTGTGAGCCAATGTGGATCATCTGGAGCTGTGTCAATACGATGCCCATTATGGGCCAGAGCTCCCCCATGCTCCTTTGTATACACAGAGCTGAAGAAGGTATTTAATAAATTTGCCTTCTCTTTGTCCCTGGTCATCCACTCTAGATTATTATGTAAAGGGTCTACATGCTTGGACCTGAATTTTTGCTATCTTTTGCAATATGTCGTTCATTTTCAATTTTTGTGGCCCTTGATTTCCTTTTTACATATTCTGTTATATTCTTTGTAATGTTTAAACGATGATAGCGTTCCTTCATTTTTATATTTAATAAAAGCTCTTTTCTTATTATTGATAGGTTTTTTAAAATTCGGCTGTAAGCCACACAGGTTTGATTTTTAGCCTTTTAAACTTGTTGCCCATGGGAATATATTTTGCAGTTTATTCACATACAGTCTTTTTGAAGAACTCCCATTTCAGTGTTGTGTTCATCGATGCCAATATTCCCTCCCAGTCTAAGTCTTGGAGAGCAGCTCTCAGCCTTGGAAGATTAGCTCTCTTAAACTTGAGCGTTTCTATTTTCCCGTATGTGCTTGCTGTTTACAGCTAACAATAAATGAAATCATGTTATGATCACTGCTACCCAGATGTTCTTTTATATGCACATTAGTAATAAGCTCTGCATGGTTAGAGATTACCAGGTCCAGCAGAGCATCATTCCTAGTTGGGACCTCTATGAACTATACCGTAAAATTGTCCTTTAGTAGGTTTATACATTTTTGCCCTTTAGTTGTTCTTGCAGTGCTATTACTCCAGTCAATAAAAGCTGACCATTTTAAGCACCCTTGTCAGTGTTATATGGTTTGTCTTGACCTTTTAACTGCCACTTTTGCTGGACAACTTGGTCTGTTACAGAAAGTTGAAAAATAACAGACTTAATTGTAGACAGGTGTAGTTCTTACTCCATTCAGTAGGTCGCATCTTGCCACTGAGCAGATTGAGTGGAGGAATGATGATCCTCTGCAGCTTCCATTGGCGTCAGAGAGAGAACAGCTGTCTGATTGGATACTGCAATCCCCAGTGACCTTCCGCAGCCGTCTTGAATGAGGCTGCCCTTATAAATAGGGGACTCTGCCAACATTTGTTGGAGATAGAGAGTTAGCATTATGGGAAAATTATGATATTAGGGGGAAAGCGTTGGGATACTGCTGCACACCCTACAAGCCACTGGTCTACAGAGCTGCTGCCGCAACCTTCTCAACAGCCTCTAAGAAGCACTAGCTGAGTCTGTCACCTGGCCAGTCAACCTCCCATTCAGCAGATGCTGTCCTGGTAAAGTATGCCTTGCCTATATTGTGCCTTACTGTGCCTGAAGAAATATCCCCACATATCTGTGTTGATGTTGTGTGACCTTCTGGTACAAACTGGTGATACCGTTATTGTCTTATGCTGCCACCTGTTCCATTAAAGTGTTACTAAACCCACAACAGTAAAATTAGTCTGTACATACAGGAAAGCATGCTTGTTATACTCGCTGTGGAACTTAAGGGGTTAATCCTCTGTATTGTGTAAAAAGGCTCTATGATCCTTTCTTCTCTGATCCTCCCCTTCTTCTAATGTCCCCAATCCATCTTCTGATAGTACAGAGCTCTAGGGGGTCACTCGGCACATGCTCAGTTTAGTGTGTATGGCTATAGAGTTCTTTTTTCCTTTGGGAGGGTGCATGTGATCAGCACTGTCCAGACAGAGGGTCAGGGGTTATGCAGCCTCATAGGACAATCAGGGGAGAATGAAAACTCCTCCTATAAACTTTAACCAGTGCTCAGCCAGACACTGATAGAAGTCATAAGACTGCCGTATACTGCTTATGAGAATAGATATTTAGCCATTTATATTTTTACTAAAATAATTGCATTTCCATGTTGTGTACTGTGGGAGACCAAATATAATGAATGCAGAGTCCTGGGTTTAGTAACATTTTGATGACTGCATAACCATGCTGTTGGGGGACTGTTCTGTGATGGAGTGAAATGTTAATCATACCGGTTACTGTGCCTGTTACTACAAATGTTACTGCACCTGTTACCAAGAGTGTTAATAGTGTGTTTCTGTAGGTACTCTTGTGTCCCTTCTTTCATACTACTTTTCCAAATACAAGGACTGATAACTCTTATTGGTCTCTGTGTATGCTACGCTCTCTGCATTGGGTACTTTAGCTCCAGTTCCTGCTCACATTCTGGTCAGATCACCAAGTGAAAATAAAGAAAAAAAGCCTAAAAAAAGGAAAATACACGCAGCCACCACACCTAAGAATAGGTAAACTGCATTACATTACATTTTTGTTTTTTGGGTTTATTACTGCTTTAAGTCCATTATCCTGTATCAATTGTTTCTTTCCCTAATAGGTGAATACATATTGCATACAACTTCACTAGATATTGTGCTTAGTCGCGTGCATATAGATATTGAGTTTATGTCATCATTTATCAATATCTTCCTGTTATAAAACAATAAACATTAATTTAAACAAATGATTGACTAATCCCCATAGACTATTTACTGCAATGGAAAAATCTACCATGACAAAGCAAAATTTCCCTTGCAACATCTCCGATTATCCCAAAGGAAACATGACACAAGCTTAAGCCTGAAGCTCTGAGTAGAGATCATATCTTGTGTATTTTTATTGTGTATTGAAGGGGAATCAAACCATGTTTCTGCATAAGAGTCCTCTACAAAGATATGTCCATACAGTAATGACAGATTTCCATTACAGGCCTTTGTAAGGACCACATTTTGAGGTGGCTTCTCTGGATGTTTAGGAATCTGTCTTTAGCACCAGTTTGTTCAGAAGGCTGTTGTGGTGGAATCTGGCCTATGGATGGATGCAAAGGATAGTAAGGTAGCTTTTTGATGTCTGGGAATGACATGAGGAGGTCATCAGAGCTGCTGGATGTGGTGGCTCTGTGAAGAATACTGTATGTCATGTTACAGCGGAGATAACACACCGTCAGCCCTACTTAGCATTTATGAGACAAGCGGGGGTGATTTCCATAAAGGCAAATAGAATGTTTGCATTGCAAGGGAAGTTGTGCTTTGCAAGGGATTTTCCCCAGAGCTTAGTGAATGTGGTGAAATGTCATTTTGCAAAGAATACCTAATCACAAATTGGACAAGAAAAAAAAAACAGCATTTTTGCTTGCACATGATTAAAGAAAAGAAGTCAAAAGAGCTTCACCTCATTTACTAAGCGCTGGGAATAATTCCTTTGCAGAGTGCAATATCTCTTGCAAAATGAACAATCATTTTGCCTTTAGTAAATCAACCACAAGCGTGAGAATTCCGGTGCTTTCTGGATATCTGGCAGTTGTGACAATCTGGTCTTTCCACTTGCAGTCTGGTGTTTCCACTCACATTGGTTTGTCAGCATTTCCTCCACTTAGAGGCTATAGCACTGATCTTAAATAGGAATGAGCACAGAAGTGTTCACATTCTAGAGTGTACCCAGCTCAGCGATCCTGCCAGGAAACTGTCACTGTACACAAATCATAAGTGCCCCAGGCATTCCTTGCGCTGCAGCCGCATGTATACAAGGGGCATTTATATGTATTGGTGTGTGACAGGGAAGGCCTCAGCCTCTTATGATTGGCCCAGTACAGTGACAGCATTTCCTGGCAGGATTTATCAAGAGGCTTCATACTAGGACTCAAAAATGCCTGTGCTCATCCCTAATTAAGATCAGGTCTAATTAGGATCAGTACCAGTTAGCTGCAACACTGATCAGTGTCCCACTGTCAGAATACAAGCAGCGGGGAGGTTTCCTTCATCTATCTTGAATGTGTGGATGGGGGGGGATCTTTTTTTTTATCATATGGCTGGCTGGTTACCCACTTGCTTACTGGGAGCTTATACCCCCTTCCTTACCAGACCAATTTTCGGCTTTCAGCGCTGCCGTAGCGCACTTTGAATGACAATTGCATGGTCATGCAACATTATACCCATATGACATTTTTATCATTTTTCCCCCACAAATAGAGCTTTCTTTTGGTGGCATTTACTTGCCGCTGGGTGTTTTACTTTTTGCGCTATAAACAAAAAAAGAGCAAATAATTTGAAAAAAAAAAAGTTTCTTCGTTCTATTATAAAAGTTTGCAAACAGGTAATTTTTCTCCTTCAGTGATGTGTGTTGATGAGGCTGCATTGATAGGCAGCACTGATGGGCACTGATAGGCAGCACTAATGAGGTAGCACGGATAGGCGGCACTGATAGGCCGCACTGATGAGCTGGCACTGATGATGAGTACTGATAGTCGGCACTGATAGTCGGCACTGAATGGCGGCACTGCTGGGCTGCACTGATGGGCACTGCTGAGCACAGGTGGGTGGCACTGCTGGGCGCCGATCATCAGGACACTGATTATCAGTGCCCTGATGATCGGTTCCGATCCTTGCTCTGACAACTGCTGGTTCTCGGCAGTACTTTCCTCATGCTGTGACAGAAAGTGCAGCCGAGAACCGGCAATTGCATTTCCTGGTGATCAGCATGTCATTGGACACGGCTGATCACGTGGTAGAAGGCCGCTGTAGGACACAGCAATCACGGAGATCGCCGGGTGCGCGCCCCTGGATGCGCGCAGGAGAGCGCGCTCTGGGAGGACGTCATATGACGCCCTCCCAGAACTGGCCGGCCACAGTGCAGCCGACATTTTGCTATCTGCGGTTGGCAATTAATAAAAAAAAAAAAAAAAAGATCCATTTGTAGCCAGCTTGACATATAAACTGGCACCTTCCCTTGCTCTCCAGCCTAAAAAGATCAGGTGGGGGCACGGTGGAGGGAGCAGGCAGCTGAGGGAAAGAGAGCACAGAGAGCGTGGTCAGTGCAGCGGGGGGGGGGGGGGCAATTAGAGGCACTGCTTGACCTGTATGTAGCAGCCCGATGGAGAGCAGGAGAGAAAATGTTTTTTAGCTGCTGAATTATATTAGTATAATAATATATAATTATATTTATGCCGAGTTATACAGAAGTTGTGACAGGGAAACCACACAGGGCCCTCTGGAGCATGGACTGAGTCACAACTGCAACCCCTGTGGGTCCTGCTGCTACACCAGTGCCCCCCCAAACTAAACAAGGCCGCATTCCTCAACATAAGGGCCACCACCCCCTTTCCTTGGCACGTATTTGAAATTTGGTTAATGACTGGTTTGTTTACAATTCAAAACAAGCCAGTAGGAAGCTGTCACGTAGTGTCGATAGTGATATTCCTGCTAAATGAATGACTACCAGCTGGGTCACTTGGAGGTTTAGATGGGCAGGTGAACTGGCCAAATCTTGGCCAAAGCATGTGAACTGCCAACAAGCGGGGGTGGGGGTCAAACTCATGGTGGAGCCAAACCTAAAGCTCATCCGTACTTAAAGTGGAACTAAACCCTCCTCTCCTTTTCAGCCAAGGAAGCTGCCATCTTAGCCTCTGTTTGATATTCCACTGCCATGGTGCTGCACATGTGGTCAGTTAGGACACCAGCCATTTGATGGTGTGACAGTTTGGATGAGAGCACAAGCAAATTTGACAGCATTCCCGGGAATACAGGGAATGTAACTGTTTTTTGAAACGGTTATATTGATGGGTTTAGTTCTGCTTTAAAACTATGTTTTGAAGTTCATGTCCAATTTGTCTAAAGAAACAAAATGGGGGAAATAAAAATCACAGGTAATCACAACAACAAAAGCTGAATTAATCGATTTAATTCAGTTAAATGCTTGATTATAGCAAAGAAATGCTTTGCTATAAGCAATCACATTGTGTAAAAAAATAAAAATAAATACTGATCACTTCCCCAAAGTAGTACAATGTTACTATGGTAACATTATACTAATTTGGTCATAGTGCAATATGAAAAACAAATCTTAAAAAAAGAGAAAACAATGTAATAAAAAATAAAAGAAATAATCTCAAAATGTTAAAAATTAACAAAAATTATAATTTTTTTTTTGTACTGTCACCAGTCAGTGTCCCTGATCACCGCCACACCAGTTATATGCTGACGCTGTACTGCACTGGTGACAGTATGTAAAAAAAAAATTGTGAAAATAATTTTTTTAATTTCTTAATTTTCTGAAAAATTATGACAAAAAAATTACAACTTCAGAAAACTCACCATGCCTCTTATGAAATACGTCAGAATGTCTACTTTGCAAAAAGGGGTCATTTGGGGGATATCTCAAGAAATTAGATTGGCTGTCAGTACTTCAGGATTGATCAATTTTCAAATATATCTCAAAGTTTGTGAGCTCTATAACTTTCCTACAGACTAAATAATAAACACTGATTTGGGTTATTTTCACCAAAGAAATGTAGCAGAATACATCTTGGACTAAATTAATGAGGAACAATTATTTATTGCAAACTTTTATAACAGAAACAAAGAAACAATTTTATTTTAAAAATTTTCAATCTTTTTTTGTTAATTTAGCAAAAAATAAAAAACCCCATCAGTGATTAAATACCACCAAAAGAAAGCTCTAGTTGTGTGAACAAAATGATAAAATTTTAGTTTGGGTACAGTGTTGCATAACCGCGCAATTGTCATTAAAAGTGTGAGAGTGCTGAAACCTGAAAATTGGCCTGGGCAGGAAGGGGGTAAAAGTGCCCGGTATTGAAGTGGTTAAGATCACAGAATGTTTAGTTCTGGTATTAGCCTTGGTTCACATATATGGAGCGATGAGGGGCGCGGTTTGCATGACACACAAGGAAGAAGTCCCACCACTTCTTCGGAAAACGTAGCCCGCACAGGATCCTTGGTTCCCAGTATGGTTGCGTTTTCCAGTGCGGGCGGCATGCTATTAGAACTAATGGCACCCGAGGAAGGAGCCTGACCATGGCTTGGAGTGGGAGCTCGATGTGAGGGCTCCCAGCTTCCAAGCACCTCCAGTGTCCTGCCGAGAAGGGGAGAGATGTGTGGGAAGCCCTGGAGAGACTAGCCGGGAGAGAGTGGGCGCTTGCCTGGCGGGATGCGTGGATCTCGGACCTCCGGGAGTGGCGGCCATCGCGGCGGGTTTTCCTGTGCTGTCGGCCCGGCGCTGTGTGTTCCTCAGAACTCAGTGGATGCTGGGCGATCAGGTGATCTGCCACAAGGGAGCTCTGAGAGGCAGAGGAGCCGGCCAGCGTTTCCTGGAGCAAGGGAGATGCCGGCTCTCTTCCTCCTGCACACAGGACCGTGGCAGCTGGACACACGTGGAAACGGGCTGGGTGAACCCCCCCGAATTCCACTCATTGTGTGGGGGGAATGTCGAGTGCAATGTTCGCCAGAAGAGAGTACCTGGAGCCGCCTCACCCCCTCACTTGGAGTAAAGGAAAAGATGCCCTAAAGTGAGGGAAAGTCTCTCAGAGAAGTTACATTTCTATAGAAACCAGAGATCTCACATGGGGAAGAGTGCGGGAAATACTTTTCAGTGAAGCTTAGTCTTCACACACATCAGAGATCTTACACGGAGAAGTTGCATACCTGTCCGGAGTGCGGGAATTGTTTTTCATGTAAGTCCTATTTTTTTATATACCAGTGATAACACAAGAGGGAGCAGACATACCCTTGTTCAGAGTGCAGGAAAATGTTTTTCACAGAAGTTCAGCCTGCATACATATCAGAGACCTTACATGAGGAAGATGCTATATCCCTGTTCTAAGTGCGGGAAATGTTTTCTCAGATAAGTCTAGACTTTACATATATCAGAGATTTTACACAGGTGAAAAGCAATATGTCTGTCCTGAGTGCGGGAAATACTTTTCAATGAAGCCCAGTCTTCACACACATCAGAGATCTTACACGGATGAGAAGTTGTATACCTGTTCGGAGTGCGGGAAATGTTTTTCAGAGAAGCCATTTTCTTCATATATGACAGAGATCTCATACGGGGTAAAAGCCATATTGGGGACAAGAGGTTGAGTGAGAGCTGCAAAAGTACTGAGATTAATATATTGTATGGGAACTGAACTGTATATATTGAACTATATGTTTATACTGAGGAGGGGTTCACCCAGGGGGTCTTAGAGGAAAATCAAAAGGAGGACAATGTAAAACAGAAAAAGACCTAGAAGAAGAGGACCCAGGTAGATGAGTTCGGGAGTGGGGGGAGAGAAAAAGGAAGAAAAGAACTGAGAGGGTGATACCCATGGAAGACAACAAATTTTGATATCAAATCAAAAATAGATCTCCCCCCCAAAAAAAAACCAGAACTGAGGAAAATTGAAATAGTCCCTGACAGCATGAAAAACAAAGTATCAAAGGGAGGAGGGCCTAAGGCTTCCCAAACAGGGTCAATTAAAAAATATATACCCTCACAGGAGAAACAGACTCCAGAGAGACAACAGGGAATAAGTGTAAGAGGTGAGAGGGAAAACGGCGGGGAATGTTCCAGACTATCCCTGGGAATAGCTAACAGTAGTCAACATATGGAAGAAGTAGATATGGATAAAGTAGAAGAACAAGAGGAGAGCTCACAGATGCCTACTAAATCAGAAAAAGCAGAAATGTTTAAAGGACTTGAAAGATCCCTAAAACAGGAACTGGCGAAATTACATAAAGACCTGGGGCAAATATTGTCAAGGGTGGAGGAGACGGAATACAAACTAGATAAACATGCCCAAATTATACAGAAATTAGAAAAACGGGTGATGGAAATGAGAAAAGAACAAAGAAATCTGTAAAATAAATTGGAAGACCAGGAGAATAGGGATAGGAGATGCAATCTAAGGATACAACGCTTTCCAGAGATCTCCCAAGGAGAAGATTTGATGGGAATAATAACGAGAATGCTGAATACTATAATGGATAGAACTATAACAGAGCCTCTCAAAATGGACGGAGTATATAGAATAGGAAAATACATATAAAAAGATAGAAAAGAAAAGTCAAGAGATGTAATAGTGCAATTCCATAATTTTCGGGATAAAGAAGAGCTTTGGAAGAAGATAAAAGGAAGAGCAATAATAAAATATGGAGAAATAAATATACAGATTTTTGCTGATTTAGCAGCGGAAACATTAACAAGAAGGAGAACTCTGAAACTGTTTTTGGAACAAATGAGAAAACAGAATGTTCGATATAGCTGGGGGTTTCCAGCGTGTTTGATCGGATGGAGAAATGGTCGTTCAGCAAGACTGAGATTCCCTGAAGATCTGAGAGACTTTTGTGAGAGACCTGATATACAGAAAATAAATGTTCCTGGTTGGGAGGAAGAAGAAGGAGAAATGTGGGCTATGGAAAAAGAGGGGAGGCAGGTAGCTCTAAGGAGAAATAGAGAGTAGGAAAAGTAAAGAGGAATAAGATGGGAGGGAGGGGGGGGAGGGGGTTCTCTCCTTTTTTTTCTCTCTCTCTCCAATGATACCAATTAAACTACCAGAAGTATACTTTAGATCAATTAAAAAAATGTTAATAAGATTTATTTGAAAGAATAAAAAAATGAGAATAAGCCAGGAAATTTTATGTAGAAATAAAGAGAAAGGAGGATTTTCAAATTTTCAGATTTAAAAAGATATTATAACTCGGTAATAATGGCGAGAATTTTTGACTGGACATATAATGCAGAGAGGAAAAGCTGGGTTAAACTAGAAAATATACTAAGTAATACTAAATTAAGTGGAATTGTATGGTTACCTCCACAATACAGAGGATTAGCAGACAGTACAAGTTTTTTCACATTTAATGTTTTAAGAGTTTGGGATATTTTACACAAACAGATGGGATGGGAATACAATTCACTGTTAATGACCTTAGGGTCCACAGAGTTTTCACCCCGGGTAAAAAAAAAATGTTTCTAATAAAAAAGAAAAAAGAAAGAACTAATGGCACCCACCCGCGGGTCCGCATTTGTCTGTGCGGGAGGTGCGGCTGCACGGATTTTCATGCGGATCCACCCCCACAGATGTGAACCTAGCCTAAGGGACTTTGTTGAAATATTTATTGTTACAGTCAGGAACCGTCACATATTAACAACACAAAGGTTGCTAGGAGAATGTGAAAAGGCTCTTGTCTGCATACACACGTAATCTAATACAGTTACACCCATCTGTTTAGGTTACAGGTGCAATGTAATATTTACTTAGCTATAGCAAATTATACTGTATAGTTACATACAGTAGTTAGGTGGAAAAGAAGTCCATCTGGTTCAGCCTATGGAAAAAAAAACAGACTATATGGAAAAATCTAGTACACGCACACAGGCGCACGCACACAAAGTCTGTTAGTGGTGCCTTGTAATTACAAACACATTCTTGGGGATCCATTTATTTTAAAAAAATCTGTTTTTCAAGATTCATGAAAGCGTAACAAATAATACCCATAATGTTTGTAATGTGTATAATAGATTCTGTATAGACTGCAAACAATGCGGAGGTGTTCTTATGGCTATATTTCTCTTAGGATCAAAAGCTAAGCAATTGTACATTTGCCCAATGAAAGTCAGCAAAGAAACTATTAGGTCTCTTTCAAAAAAGTGTTAATGCTTACCGCCCTATGAAAAGTTATCCACGGTGGATTACTTTTCAGAGAGCGGTATAGCTGTGGCTGACAGGGGTTCGGGAGGCACTACTGTCACTTCCTGATGCCTATTGTATTGGTTTTTTTTCTAAATTGTTAAATGGCAATTTTACATTGTGAGACCACAATTGTTTGGCTCACAGTTGTGGGGTGGCCCCATTGAACTCAATGGGTGAGTTTGATAAGGCAGTGTTGTTGGTAAAAGTCTGCAGTCTGAGCTAAAAACGATGCATACAGTTGTATTGTTAGAATTCGGGTGGGTGGCCAGGGGGCAGCAAAACCTCAGCCACCCATTTTTACTGCCCCCCAGCCACCACTGTGAAAGAACCCTTACAGACACATTTCAAACATTACAGATATTAGTTGTTCAGCAAAGTTGTTGTTTTTTTATAACTAGACACTTTAGGGAAGAACTTTGCTCTACATACCTTTTAGTTTGTATCTTCACTTCCAGGAGCCAAGTATGGTCTTTGAACACTCGGACCATTTTCATGCTTTACCGCAGGCAGATACTGATGAGTGATCTTTTGACATGTGTTTTTCTTTGCCCCGTGACAAAGCAGAAATTTGTTTCTGTGACTTAACATTATTATTATTATACAGGATTTATATAGCGCCAACAGTTTGCTCAGTGCTGTACATTATAATGGGAGACAATACATGTACAGTAAATCTTTGCTTGAGCATATATGTAGTCATAGTAGCTAAAAAACTAAATAGATAGTATTATTCACTTATTTTGGCTCATAATTCCTGATACTTTTTTCAGCACATAATAAAAGGAGCCAGGAGTCAGTGGTGTCAGTTGTGTCAGTTGCCTCTCTGGGTAGAGGGGTGCACTGAGAGGATCCAACCTTCCTTGATCTATTGCTGAATGACAACAGAGTTGTTCTTCCACATAGTAAACCCAATCCTACATTTCCTAATATGATTCATTATTGTATCCCAGGTTTCCATTGTGTCAGAATTACATAGAGCCAGCAGAGAATGAGTGATCCAGTTTATCACTCTGAGCCGTTTTCTGGTCATCCAAGGCAAAGAAAGAACATATTTGTGTCCATTGGTCAGCTCGGGACCTGGATATATAACCTTTACCTGCCCCCACTATTAGGACCACCAGAGAACTGAAATTATGACATAACCTCAGACTATTCTATTTACAGGCATTTCTGGTCTCTTAAATTCTGGATTACGTATTTTCCAATAACGCATCAGCTAATAAAACCAAATACTCGGGTGCAACAACTGGCCAATTTATTCCCAACCTGTCCACTAGAGACTGCTATATACCTTATACTAGACTTCCCTTTAGCACTGCATTGTGTATTTTCTGCTTGTCAGGACAGGAAAATCTAATTTCACCCAATATGGTTGGACTTCTTTCCTCTGGCTAACTATAGCAATAGATAAGAGACAGAGATAAATACATAAGTACATAAACAGATAAGGCATAGATGAATAGGGATTCTGAATTTGCTATTTAACCACTTCAATACCGGCACCTTCACCCCCTTCTTGTCCAGGCCAATTTTCAGCTTTCAGTGCTGTTACACTTTGAATGACAATTGCGTGTTCATGCAACACTTTACCCGAACAAAATGTTTATCATTTTTTTTGAGACAGATAGAGGTTTCTTTTGGTGGTATTTAATTACCACAGTTTTTTTACTTTTTTGCCTAGCAAACGAAAACAGACCGAAACTGTTGAAAAAAAACAAAACCTTTTTCTTAGTTTCTGTTATAAAATTTTGCAGTTTTGTCATTTTTTACCTTCACCGATATGCCCTGTTGAGGCGGCACTGATAAGGCGGCACTGATAAGTGGCCCTTATGGGCAATGATAGGCAGCAGTGATGAGGAGGAACTAATAGGCAGCACTGATGGGGCTGCACTGATGATAAGCTCCCTGATTATCAGCATAAATGTCCCCTGTGTGAATTGCTGGTTACCAGCTCTCCTATCCTCACACTGTGACAGTGTGTGAGGAAAGGACTGCCAATAGCCGGAAAGTCTGTTTACAATGTGATCAGCTGTGACTGGACACAGCTGATCACATGGTAAAGGGCCACTGTGATTGGCCCTTTACTGCGATCTGTGATCAGCTGTGTCGGAAGGACATATCGATCACAAAGTGCGCCAGGTGCACGCCCCAGGGCATGCGGGGGGCATGGTTCTAGGAGGATGTCCATAGATGCCCTCCCAGAACTGGATGACTGTGTTGTAGCTATCTTTTGGCAATACGGTGGTCGGGAAGAGGTTAAAGGGTAACTCCACTATCGTGGGAAAAAAGCAAGTAAAAAAAAAAATAATACAGTGCATATAGTTGCTACACAAGTTATCTTTTAATCGAATGCTCATAAAAACTACCTTCCTTTTCAATCTGCAGTGCTGTAATTTTCTGTAAAGTTCAATACAATATGGCAGCCTGGGGGCATTCTGTACACAGACCCCCAGAAATTTAATTCACTGCCTTATTGGTTTACTAATTTTCCCATAAGTCTGCGCTAAGATTCAAGTCAGATTTTGGGAATCACCTGCAACAAAAATGTTTTTGTTGAAATACTCCCAAAGGGAAATCATTTCTAAAAGGGTGCCACTTAAGTATCTTTATCCATGCTGCTGGTTATGTTACTCCCTGTATAATAGAACATTACAATGAGGTCACATGGTCCACTCAAAAATTATTCTAGGAATATACTAACATCCTATAGAATTGAAACTACAGACAGAATAACCACCCCTAGGTAATTATTTGGGACTTTCTATGTAGTCTGCCTGTCAATTATAATCATTACATTATTCAAAAACAAAAGTAAGTACACCCCTAAGTAAAAATGTCCAAATTGGGCCCAATTAGCCATTTTCCCTCCCTGGTGTCATGTGACTCATTACTGTTACAAGGTCCCAAGTGTGAATGGGGAGCAGGTGTGTTAAATTTAGTATTATCGCTCTCACTCTCTCATACTGGTCACTGGAAGTTCAAAATGGCACCTCATGGCAAAGAACTCTCTGAGAATCTGAAAAAAAGAATTGTTGCTCTACAGAAAGATGGCCTAGACTATAAGAAGATTGCCAAGACCCTAAAACTGAGCTGCAGCACGGTGGCCAAGACCATACAGCAGTTTAACAGGACAGGTTCCACTCAGAACAGGCCTCGCCATGGTCGACCAAAGAAGTTGTGTGCACGTGCTCAGCGTCATATCCAGAGGTTGTCTTTGGGAAATAGACGTATAAGTGCTGCCAGCATTGCTGCAAAGGTTGAAAGGGTGGGGGGAGGGGTCAGCCTGTCAGTGCTCAGACCAGATGATGCACAAGAAAGCCCGCAAACTGTTTGTTGAAGACAAGCAGACTAAGGACCTGGATTATTGGAACCATGTCATATGTTCTGATGAGACCAAGAGAAACTTATTTGGTTCAGATGGTGTCAAGCGTGTGTGGCAGCAACCAGGTCAGGAGTACAAAAACAAGTGTGTCTTGCCTACAGTCAAGCATGGTGGTGTGAGTGTCATGATCTGGGGATACATGAGTGCTGCCGGCACTGGGGAGCTACAGTTCATTGAGGGAACCATGAATGCCAACATGTACTGTGACATACTGAAGCAGAGCATGATCCTGTCCCTTCGGAGACTTTGCCGCAGGGCAGTATTCCAACATGATAACAACCCCAAACACAAGACGACCACTGCCTTGCTAAAGAAGCTGAGGGTAAAGCTGATGGACCGGCCAAGCATGTCTCCAGACCTAAACCCTATTGAGCATCTGTGGGGCAACCTCAAACGGAAGGTAGAGGAGCACAAGGTCTCTAACATCCACCAGCTTCGTGATGTCGTCATGGAGGAGTGGTAGAGGACTCCAGTGGCAACCTGTGAAGCTCTGGTGAAGTCCATGTCCAAGAGGAATAAGGCAGTGCTGGAAAATAATGGTGGCCACACAAAATATAGATACTTTGGGCCCAATTTGGACATTGTCACTTAGGGATGTACTCACTTTTGTTGCCAGCGGTTTAGATATTAATGGCTGTATGTTGAGTTATTTTGAGGGGAGAGCAAATTTACACTGTTATACAAGCTGTACACTCACTACTTTACATTGTAGCAAAGTGTCATTTCTTCAGTGTTGTCACATGAAAAGATAGAATAAAATATTTACAAAAATGTGAGGGGTGTACTCACTTCTGTGAGATACTGTATATATACATATATATGTATGCACAAATGGTTTGCCTTTCATTTCTATATGAACCCCTTGATGCCGACGTAACATAAATATGTGGCCTCACAGAACTGGACTTTTTTCTGTGGGGCCGCAAATTTGCATACCTGTCTTCGTGGTAAAAAAATATAATATTAAAAATTAAGAAAAAATACCTAGATCAAGGTTTGATCTAGTTCAGTGCCAGGGTTAGTGTTTGGGTCAAGATTAAGGTCAAGGTCAAAAGGTTAGGGTCAATGGTCAGGATTTACAAAATAAATTGGTATCAGTGTCAGTTAGTGTCAATGTCAGTGTCAGTGTGTTTTAGGTAAAAAAAGACAAAAACAAAATGTGCACTATTGTTTCTGGGCTGTGCTATGGGTACAAACAACAAATAACATACACATATATGGTATCACTGTGATTGTCAAGAGCTGGAGAATTTACTGATGGGTGACACTTAAAGGCAGCTCAGATGTGCACTGATATGTGGCATTGATGTGGCACTGATGGGCACTGGCAGGTGGCATGGATGAGCACTGACAGCTGGCACTGATGGACACTGACAAGTGGCACTGCTGGAGCTACACAGATCATCAGGGCACACTGACCATCAGTGCCCTTATGATCAGTGCACATGTCCCTTCTGAGGGATGCCGATTACCAGCTCTGCTCTCCTCTCGAGCTGTCAGCGTGACAGCTCGTGAAGAGAGAAATGCCGATAACCGGCATTTCCCTATTTACATGCGATCAGCTGTGATTGGGCACAGCTGATCACATGACCGAGCCGACAACTTCGGCTCTTTCCGTTGATCGGTGATCCGCTGTGTCTGAAGGACACCACCGATCGCCGTGCTGCGCGCTCCCAGAGCCGCACATGCACGGCTAGAATAGAACGACGTCATATGACGTCCTACCAGAACGAGAGAACTGCCTTGCGCCCGTCATTGCACTATATGGCGGGCGGGAGGCGGTTAAAGGGTGTAAGTCAGCCAAAGCCTGGGACAGCATCCAATGTTGGTTGGACAGAACACCAGGAGATTAGGTACTTTCAGGATAACAACTTCAAACAGTAAAGAACAATAACTCTTGAATATGCAGAAAAAGGTAGATACTACATAATTGAATGTACCCAGAGGACTGGTGGTGGTGTGGGAGGGGGGGTTATAACTAGAGAGGGGTTTGACTGCAGGGAGTCCTAATCCTATGGTGAAGGGATTTATGGTCCAGCTCACACTCTGCAGATAATGAGATAAGGGTAGTCTAAGTGTCAGGCCTGAACGCAGTTTTTGCAGCACATTGGAGCTCAGTAATGTTAAACCAAAATCCTCGGGGGGGGGGGGGGGGGGGGGGGGGGGGTTACGCAATCAGCAAGCGAGTTGTGGGTATAGCAAAAGTGACACATTCCTTTGTAACCCAGGTTATGATGCTTGCATGCAGTGTCCATGTGTTGAGTGTTACTGAAGAAAAGGGGATTTGGACTTGAACCAGCTCACCCGATCCTGATGAAGTTGGCACACAAAAAAAGTGAAGCAGGGTCTGTACACCAGCTAGTGGAAGGATGGATGCATTAGGTCGGTCAGATGCAACCACACTTCACATTTCTTGTTCTGCGGATAATGGCTTCCTTATTTTACAAACATGACCGTATTTGGTCCATAACGCCACTGAGATGTCTGTATTCGGTCAATTATGTTACCCGGGAGACTCCCAAACCTTTGAATATATGAGCTGTCATTTGGTAGGAGTAAACTGACACAACAAACATGTTTTTTTTTTCTTTCAGCAAGTGTCAGCCATTGTTATTAATGAAGATTTACATCACTAGACGTCATGACTGATGATGGATGTACTTTGTGGGACATTTTAGAGTATTCATGTTAAAGGATTTGTCTAAAACATTGTGTGTGTGTTTTTTTTACCGTTTACATTTTTTGTGAATGAGTATGGGTACTATGTGCCCCATACGTATTCCCATGATGGTGGGCGGTATCTGGGAGCCCCCTCATTGTTAAAGGGGTCTTCCAAATTCTGATAAGTACCCTGCCTGCAGACTCCCGCCATCACTCAGGGTTATGGGGAATTTACGTTACTCCTCATCAACAGGGGAAGATATAGCCCACCCTGTTGAGGGCTTTTCCCCCCTTTTTTTGTCTGCTAGATTGCATGCTTGGGTAAGGGTCTGGTACCCCATGCTTAAGGACCTAAAGGGGGAGGGGGGCCACCTTTTTAAAAAAAAAAATTCTTGTGTGGAATCCCCTTTACAACTCATACCAGACCCGAGGGCCTGGTATGAATAGGGGGGGGAACCCACATTTTTTTTTAACTATCCCTGGCCTGTTTGCTTACATGGCCAGGGATCCCCTCAATGGTTGTTAAGGACTTGGGGTTGCCTACACCTGCTGGCATCCTTAACAATCATTGACGGTGGAAAGCTATCATACAAGAACAGTAGAAGTGATGCAACTATTATACGTGATGTTCGGCTCCTACCAACTGGGTGATCATTTTGGCGTTAGTACGCACACCCAAACACTCAAGGTTCATGAACAGTTAAGGTTCAACTTGTGTTCAGACCGAATTTTAAGCACATCCCTACTGTTGAATGACATTAGGGGAGATAGAGCCAGCCACTAAGTAAGCCAGGATGTAGTCTAGAAACCAGCCAGAGAAATGTCATTAGTGATGATGGCAGAACATGTAGGAAGAAGCATGTAGGGCAAGATGTCCTTAAAGAAATATGTTCTTGAGAGAAATATGTCATTGCTGGCCTCTTTCTGAAACTGCTCGTTGCCTGACTGACCCAGGACAAGTGCCCAGATCAGGAATTATGACCTCAATCTGACTTTATAATCTGTTTGGGTCAGTAACATAGAAAGTGTTGAATTAGAAAATGGCTTTTTTCAGACTTTTCAGAGGTTTACTTTAAATAGGTTCTAGACATAAATTGTGTATAAAAAAACTTTTCTTTTTAAACAAAACCACATCAAGTGTCCAAAGTATCAAAAACAATCCCCACTCATGTAACCAAATGTTCAACAAAGTCTCTTTATTTTCTTCTTTCAACGACAAATCTTTTTCTCAACACCCGCAAATTCTGATTACAATATACCTCAAAAGAAAAAAACTTAACATAGTGTCATACCTTTTTAAAAATTAGATACACACGTGCCCCTTCCAGTGCAACATGCAATATTTGTGAACAAGCCAAAAACCCCCCCCAAAAAAGTTTTTAAATCTATATGCGAATATCTAAATATACGCATATATTTTAATTCTCTATATAACCAAATCCTGACATGACGTCAGACGCATCGACGTTGACAGGAAGTGCGATCGCGGCCATCTTGGAAGTGGGAACATGTGGCCAGTGTTCCCTAGTCAGTCTGCATGTGTATCTCTATGAGGAGGAGCTGCCTTATCCTAATTGTAATGTGAGTTATTGAATAAAGAATGTTATTTTATTGAATCTACTATATATAATTGCGGTTTTTCTTACGAGGAGAATGGAAGAAAAACTTTAATACTGGATCTAATACTGGATGGAATTCTACAGTTAAGAAGTGAACCCAGATTTGTGTTATGCCCTATCTTTTGGTATATAGGGTAATTATCCATTAGCACAGGAGTTGGAGATTGTTTGGTTTGGGGGTGTGTAGGGGGTAAGGTGATCACTGATGCATATATAGTGTGGTGTTACACATTTGCAGTGATATTTTCTGAGCTGTCTACACAGATTTTATAGTGGACACGTTTTGTGAGTGTTTCACTGACTAAGGATTTGGTTATATAGAGAATTAAAATATATGCGTATATTTAGATATTCGCATATAGATTTAAAACTTTTTTTTTTTTTTTTTTGGGGGGGGTTTTGGCTTGTTCACAAATATTGCATGTTGCACTGGAAGGGGCACGTGTGTATCTAATTTTTAAAAAGGTATGACACTATGTTAAGTTTTTTTCTTTTGAGGTATATTGTCATCAGAATTTGCGGGTGTTGAGAAAAAGATTTGTCATTGACAGAAGAAAATAAAGAGACTTTGTTGAACATTTGGTTACACGAGTGGGGATTGTTTTTGATACTTTGGACACTTGATGTGGTTTTGTTAAAAAGAAAAGTTTTTATACACAATTTTTGATTAACCTTCAAGGGTGGAGGTGGATTACTTTTCTGGGAATTTTTGTGCTGTGTATTTGAAAATATAGCTCCTAGACATAATTTCCATAAATGGGAGTACTTTATAGAAGGTTTCTAATAATATCCTTGAATTAATATGTAAACATTGAAGGAGATTATTAGAAAGGAAGATATTTAGCCTTAAAATGGCAAAGCTGGACATTTTGGCAGATTCCCACTGGCACTCTGCAAGTAGGGAATGAACTGTCTGACTCCAAAGAGTAAGCCAGGCTGACTCTATGGAACATTACTTGGAAGGTGCAGCCAGAGATGACAGATTATTGCCACAAAAGATGTTACCTAAGCCTTAAAAAAGATCTTCCTGCTTCAGTATCCAGGACATAGATGAAGACTGGGCACCTAATAAATGTAAAAAATGTGCCCCCACCCTAGGATATGCATAATATATTGCTTGTTTTGTCTGGATAATGATCTCTAAGAGTAGCACATACTCGACTAGTAATACTAAAAACACATGTATGGTGTATAATTTGAATAATTTGTCGCCGGCACACCTTAAGTCATATCATTTTTTTAGTTTGAACACTGAAAACATCACTTCTGTATTTTCAGTACAGCATTTCACAAAGCCCCTTCATCAGTCCTATGTGAGGTCTCATGAGCCTGATGAAGTGGCCTAATTGGTTCTAAAATATTTCAGTGTTTTTTATATACTGCTTTTGATCTTTAAATAAAGTGTTGCTGACATTCTTCACATTTTCATTTGCTGCCAAATGACAGTTGTTACAACACCCTACTCATTATGGTGGCTTCTGTTACGTTTTGTGGTGGGAGTATCTCTGGCCTAAGTGTATATCACAAGTCCACATCCTAGGTTATGGTATCCAGTTTTGGGCATAGAGATTTTGGAAAATATTTTACAGCAGACAAAACAATTAGTAAAAATAATGGTACAATCTCTCTTACAAGGAAACGTTAGAAACACTGGGTATGTTCAATTTCACTCTCACAAGATCTAAGAACACCGACTGCAATAAATATACATGCTGAAAGATTTATTAGAAACTTGTTGACAAGCACAGCTACTGCTGCATTATTAAACAAAGGATCACAGAAAGTTTAGGGTCTCATAGATACAGGTCACACTGATGTCACACAGATAGTAAAAGGAATATAGATGGAAAGTAGACTGGTTGGATCCTCATGGGTGGGGCACAGCTTAGCTGCTCTCTTTCACGCTATGCTTGTCAAACAGGTACTCGCCCATGCCGTTGTCAGGCACCCCAAGGCGTTTCAGGTTGGTGATGAAATCTCCAAACCGTTTGATATCCTTCACCTGTTCCTCCAGATATTCAGATTCCAGGAAGTCACACAGCTGAAAAACAAAACAATGTTGGTTAATAATGTCTGTTAAGTTTTAGGTTTTACTCATTCTTTAAGATACACAGAAGGAAACAGAAGATAAAAGATAAAATATATATAAATTGTTGGAAAAACTGTTGCTTCTCTCCTTCTGCACCCATGGAATTTTTCTAGTCCCAGTATTCAGTTTTGTGCTTTGCATTACCAATAATTTGGTAATATTGCTATTAATACAGATGAAACAAATTAATGATACAAGCAATTAGATTCCAGTTCTCTCTTTAATAATGCAGATTCAAAGCAAAACAAATAATCCTCTTGGTTTTGCTATGAGCAGTACCTCAATTCTTCTTTTCTTCTGATTTCTTTAAATAAAGTGGAACTTCACTCAAAAGGGGAAGTTCCGCTTGTTTGCCTTCTCTCCCTTCCTCTTTAACACAATTTGTCCAGTTTTGACAGATACCCACATTCACTTCTGCCCAGATTGCCTAGGAAGTTCATCCCCCCTTTCACCTGCAGCCTTCAGGGACACATCACAGGTCCCAAAAGACTGTTGGACCATTCACAAAGTGCAGCATGGCTTGCTCATGCACAGTGAAAAGCTGGCTTTGAGGCCCCAAGGCTTCACAACGGTTTCCCTTAGATAAGATGCTGGTGCCTGGACCTGAAGCCCACTAAAGAATTGGCTTGGGTGAGGGCAGTGTTGGATCCCTGGATAGTTAAGTGTTCTTATAATAAATGTCAGCAACTACAGTATTTGTATTTTTTGGGGAGAGACTGGAGCTCCTCTTTAGGCTTCTTGCTGTTGTTTTAATATAAAAAAACCCAAAGAATAAAACAGTAAAGCCAGGCATGTATGCTATATAATGTACTAGCATATATTTACTATTTTCTGTCTAACATAAAGTCTTCTGTAGTGCAAAAAATGTTCTAAAGCTAGCCATGCACAAAGTTGACTGTCATGCTGGGCCTGAATTAGTGCTCAGAGATGTCACTAATGTAATTTGTTTGTAGTGCTTATGTTAGCCTATATATATATTTATGGACTACAGCAGGTCTGCTTTATCATTTCTCATGTCTCAACCCAATCCACCCAACACCTCCATGGCACATTCAAGTTCTGTCTGAAAAGGTTGGCAGAGAAAACTTTGGATATAAATGTCACACTTTATTAATTTATTTAATCATTTCAAATCAAAAACAGATAAATGGTACAGCAATTTCCATTTTCAGCCTTGAAAAAGGGTTGTAAGGACCAGAAATGTCATATTAATATGTAAGCTATATATTACCAGCTATTGATATAAGGATATGTGTGAATAAAAGAGCTGTATTTGCATTTAAATCTTTAGCACGTTGAGCAGATACTTACATGGGGGTCAACTTTGTCCGTGGCCAGCTTGTGCAGGTCTAGAAGAGCCTGGTTCACGTTCTTCTCCAGCTCTAGAGCAGCCTGCATGGCCTCCAGGGTGTTACTCCACTCATCACGCTCTGGTTTCTGAAGAGAACAAAAACATTTTATAAGTCCAAATGATTATGTAACAGTTTATTCTGGACAGCACACAGTGATGAAAAAGAATCAAACAATCAAACATGGCTTCCTTGTATGTGATTATTCTGTACAGAACACCCACATACATATTATTAACTATACAACATATGTGCTATGAGAGGAGCCTTTTTGATCACCTGATTCTGGCTCATTCCTAACAAAGGCACATTATCTAACATAAAAGACACGTAGAAAATATGTTCTTTTCTCAAACATTAGAATTTGCATGTCCAAAGCTACTAGCTGTTCTTACCTTGATGACCTGCAGGGCAATGCGTCCTCCACGCTTGTTTTGATATTTCATGAACTTCTCGGCATGCTCCCTCTCCTCATGACTGTGCTCCTTAAAGAACTCTGCCACATGGTGAAGGGCGACATCATCACGATCAAAATAGGCATACTGAGGGAATAAAGGAGATTAGGGTTTAATGTTAAAAATGTACCTAAAAAAAGCTCATGAATCAGCATTATGGGACTCCTCATAGCATCTTATATTTGTGGAGCTAAATTAATTTCTCTTAATATTCATAAACTCTATTTGATCTTAAGGGATGGCATAGAAACAGCTTTCCTTAAGAGCTCCCATATTTCATACTCCATGTAGGGAAATCCTCTTTCTCATCAGCGTAGCTGTCATTGACCATTATTGGTCTCAAAAAGTCATAGGGGTAGATTTACTAAAACTGGAGCATTCAGGTTCTGTTCAGAATCAGTTTCTAACTTCAGCCTGTTCAGTTAAGCTTTGGAAATCAAATTTGGAACCTGATGGTCTCTATACAGAGTTTCATCAGATTTTGCACTCTTCAGTTTTAGTAAATAACCCCCATAGAGTATCTACATTTTATTACCCAACACAGTACAGTGTTTTGCTTTTTTAACTTGCCGGAGGATATATGTGAACATATGAGTCTGCGAACTAGATATTGGCAAAGATGGGGAGAGGATTATACTGGTTGTCGCAGGTGTGTATTTCATCCTTCTCAGTGAGAGATGTCTGTCTATTGCCACATATGGTTAAAAAAATGGTAGTTGAACTGCAAGCAACCATTGGCCTGAATCACAGGAGTACACAGATCCTGATATGAATGAAACATCAGGGGAAAATTATTTAAGATGTTAGAGGCACTCTTTTGTTCAGAACTGCCACTTCTACGTGTTCTACTACTAAAGCACAGTTTGATATTGCCACAGTCCTCTGCTTATGATTTAAAATTGTTAGAGTACTAGCAAAGTCTTACAGAATTATTTATAAAATGATGGGAAATATTCAGTGAATATCCTGGTGTGGATACCAGGTCAGGAGACAATGGCTTCCACCATTTGTCAACATACCCTTGCTCTGGCCCTGCTAGATTGAGTTTATGTAACACTCCAACATATATTGCCAAGGTAAACACAAAACACTAATGAAACTATAATTTATCATTATTGTCAATCTTGTGCTAAAAGTATATTCTGACCCTGCCTTAGTCCCCGATCACACCGTTGCAACTTGTCATGCAATTTGATCATTTCAAATCGCATGACAAGTCGTGCCTTATAGTCTGCAATGGAAACAGTCATATTGGTGCGATTCCGGCTCCGTCAGAGTCACACCGATTTTGAGTACTTCATGCACTACTTTTTGCAAGTTCAGGTGCGACTTGCATAGACATCTGTGAATGAAGTCGCATAGATATCTGCCAAGTCACACCTGGGTTCAGACTGGCATTCAATGCTCAATTCACGTGAATTCAAGTGAAGTCACACAATTTTAAAGTCAGATTCAGTGAAATAAAATTATAATAGATAAATACATTAATATTGTAATTTTGCCCAAACAGATGATATATCTTGTAGTCCTAATAAAGCTGTAACATACAAAATTGCATAATGCTGAGCTCAATAAGCTACAAAAAATACAAAAGAAAGATATAAGTATAAGGAACGGGAAGTAAAAGAGGAATCGAAATTTGTCCAGTTCAGCAGGGACCAGCCAAATATCGATCAAAGTGTGGCTGTTCTTTTGAATGAACAAGTTGAGAAACATTTGTTATCAGCAGTTGCATCTGCTGATCAGTGTATTCTAATAGCGCCCACTGTCAGAATACAATGTCCCAACCGGGGAGGAAAACTTCCCCCATACACCTCGTTTGTTTGGAAAGAAAAATCTGTTTGTTTTTTATTTTGTAAGCCTGCTGGTTGAACAAAAATAAAAACATAAAAATGATGGCCAGCTTAAGAAATATATCCTACATGCAATATTGTAAAAAAAAAAACAAAAAACAACAAAATCCTCACCATGGAGAGGTAGGTGTAGGAGGCATACAGCTCCAAGTTCACCATACGGTTGATGGCAGCCTCGCAGTCGCGGTGGTAGTTCTGGCGCACCTGGGAATCCATTTCGGCTTTTCGGTGATTTTGGGTGGCACAAAAAAAAAATCACAGAAAATCAGCAACGATTGGAAGATGTTTGGAAAAAGAACAAAAGACTCAGAGAGGGTTCCGTTCAAGCACTGTTGAAGCAAGAACTCTGCTCAGAGTCAGGGGTAGATCTGATCATAGCACAGAGGGGCTCTGTATATATAGGCAACCAGCCCGAGACTCTGCACTCCCTCCCTTCACTTACATCATCTAGCAGAAGCCGGTCACATAAAGAGTGGTTATTTGCAAGACTTGGCCAGGAGAAGGCAGTGCAGGAAAGACTTTTACCTTTTTATCTCAACTTTAGCCGAATATAATATTTACCAGTAATGCTGTTTGCAAAACCTGTGCTTGGAATTCTGGATAATCAACTGAGACAAATGTTGTAGTGACAAATGTTCATTGTAACCAGATGCAGATTTTAATATGTGGCAGATAAAAAAGGGAGAAAAAGCACCTCTAAGTGCAATATGTTGTACATTTATTGAGTAACATAATGAGAACCACTCACATGATGAGAGAAAACAACAGGCTTAGGCATATGTGGTAGAAACGAGGGAAAAAGCGGCGTCCTCGATGTGTGCACCGTGGTGAGCACTGGAGGAGACTCGGGATGTATCACAGGGAGCCGGCCGGCATATGTGAAAGACAAAGATGGCGTCCGGAGTCCACCTTAAAGCATAACAGTCATTATGTCCACCTGTGTGCTGCCATATGTGGTTTACAAGACCAGAACCCAACAGCTTATGCTTGAGAAGGGAGCGCGCCTTTGCCTTTCATCGGCATTACGCATGCTCCGAAACTCATTGCATTGCGTGCTGGACATCCCTACATCATCACATTGACGCTGACGTTGCGCTTCAGGGTGGACTCCGGATGCGATCTTTATCTCTCACATATGCTGGCTACTTCCCTGTGATACATCCTGAATCTCCTCCAATGCTGACCACGGTGCACACATCAAGGATGCCGCTTTGTCCCTCGTTTCTACCACATATGCCTAAGCTTGTTGTTTTCCCTCATCATGTGAGTGGTTCTCATTATATTACTCAATAAATGTACAACATATTGCACTTAGAGGCACTTTTTCTCCTTTTTTATCTTCATCCAGAGCCTGCTACAGCTACAAGGGATTGCCCTATTGCTTTATGGACTTACTGCATAAGTCATTTGGACTTTATTTTACATGTCATTTGGACTTTAACTACTATTTAATATCCATTTTGTCTAGTGTCCATTGTCATTAAGGATTGGGGAATCTGTATGCACTGATCGTTTCTTATTACTCTTTAATATGTCGCAGTGCTACTTTAGAGCAGCTGAAGGGAGAAAATATATGAATGAGGCCACCTAATTATAATAAATCCGTCTCACTGCTCCTGCTTATCATGGTCTTGCTGTGCGACAAAATAAATACATGTCCCCTACTGTGCGCTCTGCCAACACAACCAGAAAAGAGGATAAAGATACTTAAAGTGGCTGTAAAGGCTAAAGTTTTTTTTTACCTTAACGCATTTACTGCATTAAGGTAAAAAATCTTCCATGGTCTGTTCCCTCCACATCCCGCACTAAATACTTACCTGAGCCCAAACTTGATCCAGCACTGTGCCCAAAGAGCAGAGGCTCTGGTCTCTCGGGCCCTCTCTCTCGCTCCTCACAGGACTAAGAGGCAACAGCAGGAGCAATTGGCTTCAGCTGTTGTCAATCAAACCCTGGGAGAAGGGAGCGGGTGGGTGGGGCACTGTGTGTGTGTGTGTGTGTGTATCCCCCTACATAACAGCCTAACTCAGGCCGATATCAAAGCATTAATTATTATTCCATTCATAACAAAAATGAGTGAGTCCAAGAATTATGGACAGCAAAGGATGGAGTTGTACAGAGAGGATGGAAAGTTCAATCTGTTTTACCAGAAGTAAATCCCTTCAAAAAAGGGTGAAAAGATATAGCTTCATTCAGTCCTGGGGGAACTGTGGCTGGCAACCTATATATCCATTTGTGTTCCAACTGGAGGAGATTTTTGTTCCAATCTCCTCCATGGTCAGGAATATGTATTCGATCCAGAGCAATGAATTTGATTTTGAGGAATCAGTAATTATGAACTAGAGCTGCATGTCTGCCAATGGGGAGATATCAGTTCCCTATTTGCATGCTATAGACATGCTTATAAATGCGGCGCCAAAATTCCTGTTTGGTCTTACCAATGTAAAAAGTGCCACATTCGCACGACATGAGATATACTACCCCTCTGGTCTGACAATTAGCAAGTATATATTTTGTTCCATTTGGTGACTGAATCCCTTTTTTCTTGTCCAACAAGAGACAATAGGAGCAGTTCCCACAGGGATATGTCCCCAGGTCGTGACAATTCTTATCCCTAGATTCCTGCTTATATTCACTGTGGACAAGTTTGTCCCATAATGAACTAGCCTTTCTAAAAGTTATAGAAGGTGTAATGTCCACAAACTGTCTCACCACATTATCATCTGTAAGGATAGACCAATGCCGTTGCAAAATTCGTCTAATTTGTAAATGCTGGTTGGAATATCTCAACACTAGGCGAGTAGGTTCTTTTTGAGTATCTACTCTTTTCTTCTTTTGAAACAAGAGGTTGTGGCGTGACTGCCGACAAGTGCGTTTGTATGCTTTGCGTAGGCAGGTCTTACTATATCCTATATCGCGTAATCGCTGTCTCAAATTGCCTGCTGCCTCTTGAAAGCCTTGTTCCGTTGAACAATTACACTTAAGTCTTAAATGTTAACTGTAGCATATGGAATTCTTCAAAGGTTGAGAATGAAAACTGGATACATGCAGGATTGTGTTCCTTGCAGTATCCTTCCTATAGAGTCCATCGGATAGGTGGCCTTTACTGTCCTTGTGCACCCGAACATCTAAGAAGGTCACTGTATCCCTGCTGTATGACATAGTAAATTTGAGAATGTAATTGTTGACATTCATTTTGTCAAAACACTCCCAACAGCATTTGTTCAGGCCCCTCCCAGACAAGAAAGACATTAACTCAAACCGAAAAAAAGTTGTCTTGAGGATTAAGCTTTTGCCCACAGCAAAATGCTGATGAATTTGAGGTGGTGAAAGATCTTCAATTGTTTGCCAGAAAACGTTTTTTCAAATGTTTGCCCGAAAACTCAACATGGGGGGGTGCTTTAGTGCGGGGGCCTCTTCCCCACAACTGTGGCAGGTCAGGGGTCTGTGGTTGGGGGGCTTATTGGAATCTGGAAGCCCCCTTTAACAAGGGGGCCCCCAGATCCCACCCCCCACGTAAATGAGTATGGGGCACATGATACCGCTACCCATTCTAAAAAATTCACAAAAAAAGAAAGTGTAGTGAAATGACAGGGGACAGTCTTTGACAAGCCCTTTATTAAAAAATAAAATTAAAAAAGTCCCCTGAAGTAGATACAACGTCAATCGTGATGCCCGCTGCCACTGCCGACCGGAAAAAAGAAAAAAAAAACACTCCGCTCTTGACACTGGCTCCCGCCACCTGACAGCTGCGCTCGGATGACAGTTCCTAAATACTATGATGATATCACAAGGGGCACCTCCACCCCCTTGTGACACCATCATGCACTGTGATTGACGAAAGCATCACAATGCACTGTCAGGGTGCAGTTTCTGTATTCAAACAAATGGTTGCATTGGGCAATGATCATGAGATGTCTTTGAGCTCAGTTGACTATGAAGAAGTGGTAAATGGTGCTGAGTCATTATAGCCACATTTGTGCTGAGTCACAGACCACTCAATATAATTATGTGTCGTAAATCACTTAGTGACAGCTCAGAAGCTCCAGGGACTTTTTTTGTACTCATTGGATCAGGAATGCACCAGATCTCTACAGTATGTGGAGAAAAAGAACAGAAATTTTGTTAAGAGTTGTTTTCGAAAACATGCCAGATCATCTTGTGTCATCTAATGACACCAGTGCACACCTATGAGACCTGTGACTCCAGTGCACCCCAGAGCATCGTCAGCCATCAAGGTTTGTACGGATTATGTATTATCTGACGGTGATCAATTTTGAATTAACGTATTATACACTATGGGGGAGATATAGGAAAACTTGAGCACTCAGTATATGGTGCAGCTGTGCATGGTAGCCTATCAGCTTCTAACTTCAACTTGTTCAATTAAAGTGTTACTAAACCCAGGACCCTACATTGATTATATCTGGTCTCCCACAGTACACAGAACATGGAAGTGCAATTATTTTAGTAAATATAAACTGTTAAATACCTTTTCTCATCAGCAGTTAGAACAGTCTTGTGACTTCTATCGGTGTTCAGCCTAGCACATGTTCTCTCCTAGATTGTAAGCTCCAAGGATCAGGGCCCTCCTATCCCTCTTGTATTGAACTGTATTGTTGCTGTATTGTCTCCCGTTATACTGTAAAGCGCTGAGCAAACCGTTGGCGCTATATAAATCCTGTATAATAATAATGTTCAAGCATGTAGGATGAGTTTTCATTCTGCTATAGGAGGATGCAGGACCTCTGACCTCTGCCTGGACAGTGCTGATTGTGCTGTGGTAATCACATGCACTCTCCAAAGAAATTAAAAAAAAAAACACCTCTCTAGCAATACACACCAGACTGAGCATGTTCAGAGTGACTCCACACAATATGTCTTATCAGGAGATAAGAGGGGGACACTGGAAGAAGGGGGGATCAGAGAAGACAGGATCAAGCGTTTTTACACAATGCAGAGGGCTTAGGTTCCACAGTGAGAATAACAAGCATGCTTTATTGCATATACAGCCTGATTTTACTGTTGTGGGTCTAGTAACACTTTAAGCTTTACCATTAAAACCTGGAAACTCAATGGTTTCTATGCAGAGCTGCACCAGATTTTGTATGCTCCAGTTTTAGTAAATCTCCCCCTATAATTTACCAGGTGATATTCATTTTTATATGTATGAACAGTATATATATATATATATATATATATATATATATATATATATA